AGTGTGGCGTGAAACCGAGGGAGCCGGGCGCCCGCTGCCCCCTGGAAGGGCGGTGGCCGCGGGGCAGCGAGTGATCGCCGCGGGATCTGCGCTGCGAAGCGCACCCGATTGTCTTAACTCCTGTCTCCCAAACTGGTATTGTTACCAGTGGCCGAACTTTTTGCTCTTACGCTTGCTTTTTCTTTAAAGAAACAAAATCTGATACATAAATCCAGGTTCTGAACAGCAGTGCCGTGAAGTCGAATAATTTCCTTTTTGTTTCTTGAAGTAGGAGAGGATGGAAATGTCAGGAGTGTGTAAATTCTCCTCCCACAGAACGAGTATTGTGATGACTTGGTTAACAGCTGTTGAATGTGGGTAATAAACTTTGCAAGGTGAACGTGTAACATCCCACGGCTTTCTTTCCCTCGCTCCCCAATACACACGCCCATTCCTAATCTTTCCGTTTTAAATTTTTCTCTGTAGCTCCTGTACCCCATCAAATATACTAATTATCCTACTTGACTATTGTCTGCCCTACTCCTGGGATGCAATGTCAGTGAGGGCAGAAAGTTTTGGGTTTTCTTAATCTATTTCCAGCGCCTAAACTAGTGCCTGGCATATAGGAGGTGCTTGCAAAATATTTGTTTAATGAGTGACGTTAAGAATTCTTGAGAAAATCTGGTGGAATGAGGCTGCCAGTGGCCAAAAGAATAAATAATTTTTTAAAATAGAGTCTATGTGGGTTTTTTAAGTGTTATTAAGTAATCTAATTTTTTAACATATTTTTGCTTCTCTTCAAACGGGCTTTTCTGAATCTAGATGTAGATGTTTTTAATTCTTAATAGTGTTCTCTTAGTACACTGCTAAGGAGGTAGTAGGCATCCTGAAAGGGAAGGTAGAAGGGAACTAACATGTCACATACTTCGCTTTAGGCTGGGCCTGTGCTTCTTACCTACTGAACCACCCAAGGCCAAACCCCAGTTTTTCTGCGCTGTGTAAGGAAATACCACCACCTGTGCTGTTCTCACAGCCATTGTTGCCAAAATCAGATAATATGGTGTGATGGCATCTCATGGTTTATAAAGTACTATATGAATGTATATGATACTAAAAGTGCATTGCCTAACGTTTGTACTCACTTTCCAAATTTTACATTTAGCTATACTTTCTGCTTTGATATAAGTAATACTTCTGTATATGCAACATTTTGCACAATTTTGTAAAACTTGTCATAACCTGTCTCCACATGGTAGGAATTCCTACCTTTAAAGATATAATTTAGGAGTAATATTCCCTGCGAGGTATTTTGTAGTGCTTTGAATGAAATGGAATATAAATCAGAAATGCTGACACTTAGAAATGTGATAACTGTGCTTCTATGTAAACTATTTCATGTTCTCTTACCACATTTCTAGGGAAGTTCACCACCTCCCTGTACCTTGCCCCACATGTCAATGATTTGTTAGCAAGGAGTGGATGTTTGTGTACATCTGTGTACCTTTATGTACATCTATAAAATTTATAAATTGAAATAGACACAACCAAGATCTAAACAGAAGTTTTTAAAGTCAGTTCAAAAAAGAATGTTAAAGTAGTACACAGAAGGAAGTTTGTGCAGCTGTACTGCATTTTTCTCACCGTACATCGAAGTTTTAGGATTTGAAAGTGTGTTTTCAAAAGGTGGGAAAAATTTCATTAGCTTAGTTTTGCTGCTTGACCTTTAAGCTAATTGCTGCTGAATATCAATATTAACGTAATTATAGAATGCCAGTGTCTGTGCTAGAATAATAGAGAAGCTGATGTTTTTGCAGCAGAACTGCTAGGCCTTTTGTGTAAGTATATTGAGGAAATGTCAGAGCGTCTATGGTGGAATTGACAAAGCAGTAATAGATACTGCACTACTAGCCAAAATGAGTCAGTACAGACGCTGAAGCTAAAGGGAGTTACGGCTCTGCTGCTTGCTGACTGCGTGACCTTGGGCATGTCATTTGACTTCCCAGAACTTGTTTCCTTTTCTGTAAAATGGGGCTCATCAAATTACTCTGAGAATTAAACTAATATGTATAAGGCCTAGTTCAGAGTGTGGCTTACAAGGATGCGTGCCATAAATGGTGGCTCATTATTCCTTAGGTATTTATCAAAGTTGGAAAATAGAAGACAGCATTTTTATGTGAGAGAAGGGTCCAACAGTTGGACACTAAAGAGATTACATATACTGATCAGGTGGATAAAGCAATAGTTTGTTTTGAGGAAATGTAAGAGTTTAATTTCCAGGGGACTTCATGTTACCAAAATTGCTGTGAAAGTTGAAATCATGTTTTTAATAGAGTCAGTATCTGTCCACATAATGCAGATCAGGGTCTGTAATTAATGGCTTCATATTCCGGTTAGGAAATTTTTAACAGACAAAAGATAGAAGGATACTTGAGAAACATTCTGAAAATGAGGATACAGAAGAGGAGTTAGGGGTTTCCACGAGGTGTATTTTCTTCTGAAACGGAGTTACTTTCCAGATACTCATAAGTCCGGATTGTTTGTGCCATGCGAGATTTGGGGGACCTTTACAGTTAAACTATCACAGAACAATCTTGAAGGCTTATTCTATTTTTAAGCCTGACTTGTCTTAATGCCAACACATTTTCTTTTCTTTTCTTTTTTGTTTTGAGAACTTAATTTTATAGAAGTTGATGGGGAAGTGGGATTTGCTATTTAGAAATTGCCTTTGTCTTTTGGGCACCCGATCAGTGTAGTAGTCACACCTTCTGCTAACAAGTACAAAACAGTTAACATCTCTGTATGACAAGAAAAGATACCAAGCCCCAACAGGTAACCACACAAGAAATATTTTAATATTCCTGATATTGTATGTCAGGAATGCAGAATTAGATAATTCATTAAAGTTTGTGATAACCTATTTAATGTGTATCTGAATAAGTCTCATTCTTTCTTAATAAGTGGAAAGCAGTGCTTTAAATGTCCAAAACGGTCAAAAGTTCAGTTATGTTTACTTTTGAGGGCATTATATATTTCTGTAGCATGTATTATTCCAAGCTAATTTGTCTTACTATTGTTTAACTGTAATATTAGTTTAGCTAAAACAATGCTGGCTAGGGTATGAAGCTTAGGAGGCCTAGAAATTACTAAGAGCATGATTACTGGCTTAATTTTTCTATTAACTTTTGAGGGTATGTAGTTTATTTTTCCTTTTATTCTACTTAATGTCACATGCTAAACTAGCTGAAAGCCAGATTTTAATTTTATTTGGAAGCCTAGCATAAAAGGATAATCTAATTTTTGTTGCTTTGGGAATTTGATATTAAATTTATCTTTGAAGAATTACACTTGTCAATTGTAAAGGAAACTTAAAAAGGTTTTTTAGCTATGGTAGTGGTGAGTTAATGTTCTAAACTAGAAACAGGGATGTGGAGTGTGTGTATGTTTATGTATGAAGTCTAAACAAAGATATTAAAAAATGAAATTTAGTAATCAGTCAACTTTATTAAAAATAGTCACATGAAAGCAGTGTTACCCTAGAAACTCATGTCATCATTCTCCTCTAATGCATACATGTGAATGACCCAAAATGTGATACAGAAAAGCCTTACTGGCCTTTTTCAGTCAAGTGACCTTTCTGTATCTACCCCGGCAAAGTGACTGTAGTGGCCGTGCCCTGGACTTTATCTCACAGGCCTGCTGTGCTTCCAGATCCTGAATTCCAGTAGGGCAGAGCTCAGCTACAACCTGCATGTTGTTCCTCTCCCTCCTGCTGCTGCTGCTCGTCTTCCAGCTCCACCCGGTCCGGGCTTTTACGGTGCCTGGTCCCCTCTCCTTTTCTCCAGTATATTAGCCCCCTCGTTGCTTTGCTTTTCGTCCTGCAGACTTTAACTACTAGTCCAGACTCCCCAGGCCCTCGGCTCCCCTCCCTTCTTGGTCTTTCTCCCTGTTTGGCCTGCAGATATCCAACCATGGATCCAGCCTGCCATCTGCCTTTTCTGTGCCTCCCCATTTGTGGATTGTTAAGTGTTGTCAGAGAAAGTCATGCATTCACGCTGATGGATAATATTACACAGCAAAGGTCCCTAACCTCAGACAACAGTAACACCCAGGGATGTTTTTACTTTTCCCTGGCCAGCTCCTTTCCCTAACTAGAGACATATTCATCATTCAAGTCCCCAACTATGCTTAACAGTGGTACTCCATTTTTTTATTTCCCACAGGGAAAATAATAGTTCATCAGATGTGAATGTCTTCAGTTCCTTGCCTTTTGAACTTATCTGTCTGATCATTTTTGCC